ATGCCATGTAACCGAAAGACATGCTGGGTGAGAAGGCGGGCAGTCTGCAAAGCCAATGAGAGCTTGGCCAGGGCCGCCTTAGAAAAACGATCAACAATGGTAAGTATCACTGTATTATCTGACGAGGGCGGCAACCCGGTGACAAAATCCATGGCGATATGGGACCAAACTTCCGGTAAAAATTCACAAACCCCAGGAACCTCTGAAGCTCCCTGCGGTTCTTGGGCACTGGCCAGTCAAGTAGCCATTGAGGGACGAGGGACGAGGCACACAGGCTTGACATGTTCGGTTCGGTCTCGAGAGAAGATGAGAATGTCATCCAAGTACACGAAGACAAAGTGGTTGAGGAAGTCCTGCAGAACGTCATTGACCATGGCCTGGAAGACAGCTGGAGCATTAGTGAGACCAAAAGGCATGACCAAGTACTCAAAATGCCCCAAGTGAGTGTTAAACACCGTCTTCCACTCATCTCCCACGCAAATACAAACTAGGTGATAGGCGTTGCAGAGGTCTAGTTTGGTAAAAATTTCCGCACCCTGGAGCAACTCAAACTCTAACGCTAACAGGGGCAGGGGGTACTTGTTCTTAACAGTAATTTTGTTTAGACCCCAAAAGTCAATGCAGGGACCAAGGGTCTTGTCCTTCTTTTCAACAAAGAAGAACCCTGCCCCAAGAGGTGATGTAGAAGGGCGGATTATACCCGCTACGAGAGAGTCTGTGATGTAGCACTCCACAGATTCGCGTTCTGGTTTGGAGATGCTATATAATCGGCTAGTGGGTAACGGCACCCCAGGTAACAAGTCAATTCCACAGTCATAGGGACATTGAGGTGACAGGGCAAGATCTTTACTGAACACCTTGGCCAAATCATGGTACTCAGCACAAACACCTGACTTGTCTGCAGTACCTGCTAAGAGCAAGAGCAGTTTGTGCCAGGTTTGGAACCGCCAACCTTAAACAGTGTTCATGGCACTACATGCTACACCCAGAAACGTGGCCCTGACTCCAATCTATTTGGGGATTATGTCGCTTGAGCCACGGATATCCTAACACCAATGGAGTGTGTGGGGATTTGAACAGAAACAAACAAATCTTCTCGACGTGGTTACCCGACAAAACTAAAGTTATCTCTTGC